CACTGCACTCCAGTCTGGGCAACAGAGTGAGACTCCAACTCAAAAAAAAAAAAAGAGAAAGGAGGAAGAGGGTTGCAGACCCCTCTCTGGCACTTCCACCCACAACCCAGGCCATCCATTGACTAATCCACAGTCACTCCCACCCTCTCCCTCTTCCCTTTTACCTACCACAGGGGTGGAAGAGTTGGCACCTGCTCTCCCAGCTTCCCCTGCTTCAAATAAATCACATGACACAGTGAGGGCCGAGGATATTTATTGGCTGCTTAGTAGGGAACGTTGGGAAAGTTTTGTTTTCCTGATGCAAGGGACAGATGCAAGGGACACATGGGAGTAAAAAACCAGTACTCTGAGACAGCAAGACAGAAAGTCACAGCACGCCTGTGCCCTGGGGGGGGTGGGATTTTTGAACTGCGGAACCAACACCGGCAACCACTCACCTTTGGAACTCTGTCATACGAAAAGAAAAAAAAAAATAGACTCTTTTTGACGTGTCTTAAGGGCCTTAGTAGAGTTTTCAGTCCCTCGAAGCCACAAAAGCATTCCTAAGTGACACTTGCTGAGATTCGATCCCACTCACCACAAAAAGAAGTCGTGGCCAGCCGGCTTCTCTCCAGCGGGGGCGCCCACTTACTCCACATCCCGTGGCAGGCTGGGTAAGTCACACCCTGGCAGAGGGGTTGGAAATAGATTATTTGATTTGACTCGCACTGCTGCTTGGGTTTAAAACATGGATGCTACTTCTTGATACAGGCTACAGGATAAAAGCCCAATTCATAGACACTGCTGCAGAGGGAATGTGTGTGTCTCCAATTCCTACATTAAAACCTAATTCCCAGCATAGTGGTATTTGGAGATGGACCTCTGGGAGGTGATGAGGTCAGGAGGGTGAAACCCTCATGAACAGGGTGAGAACCCCCATAAAAGAGACCCCAGAGAGCTCTCTCGGCCCTTCCCCCACATGAGGACAAAGAGAAAGTGATCTCCTATGAACCAGGAGGCGGCCCTCACCAGACACCGCCTCTGCCAGCGCCCTCATCTCAAGCTTCTCAGTCTCCAGAACTGTGAGAAATACATTTCTGTTGCTTATAAGCCACCCAGTTTATGATACTCTGTTCTTAGAAGCCCAAACAGACTAAGATAGACACCGAAGAACATGACTGAGCTATTCTGACATACAGCACAGATGCTGAAATTCAAGGGCAGTTCGAAGGTAAGTGTGGTGGGGATGAGGAAAAGGTATTTATGTTTACACTACAATGTTTACACTATTGTAGAACACCAGCGTAGGAAGGGACTTCCACAATCGGCCGGTCCATCCTCTCATTTCAAGACATGGGGCCTGAGGCTCAGAGCCATCAAGTGACCAAAGCTCAGTCTTCATGGCTGCCAACATCACATTTTTCCACCACACCAGTATTTCCAGCATGAGGTGTGCGTTTGTCTAGTGTAGCTATGGTTGGATTGGAGGCGCTATACAACCTACAGGCTTAATTGTCATTGTTTTATTTATATATTCCAGTATGCTTTGAAAAAAATGTAAGCCGGGCTCGGTGGCTCAGCCTGTAATCCCGCGCCTTGGGAGGCTGAGGTGAGTGGATGGCCTGAGATCGTGGGTTTGAGACCCCCCTGGGCAACTTGGTGAGACCTCATCTCTACAAAAATTAGCTGGGCGTGGTAGCGCGCGCCTGTAGTTCCAGCTACTTGCGGCTACTTGGAAGGCTGAGGCGGAAGGATGGTCGGAGCCCAGCAGGTCGAGGCTGTGGTGGCCGGGAGCGGCCACTGCACTCCAACCTGGGCGACAGAGTGAGACTCCAACTCAAAAAAAAAATGTAACTAGCACATCAAACCCATGATTTCCAAGACACTTAGCTGAGAATAAGGGGTTTTGGTTTTTGCTCTAAATGATTGATTTAGGGAAAACAATAGGCAGACGCCAGTACCAGCTGCCCGTTGGCATGGCTAAGTGTGAAGATGAGAGGTGGGTGACCGGGCCTGGGGGACGCCTTTCCTTCAGGCTGGAGGATGGCCAGCTTGGTGTGCCATCTGTTTTGTGGAATCCGCAAACTAAGAGTGTTTGACATTTTTAAGTGATGAGGGGGAAAAAGTAAGAATAACATTTCATGGCACACAAAAATTACATGACATTTAAGTTGTAGTTTTCAACAATGTTATTGGAACCCAACCACGTGCCTCTGCTCCCATGCTCGACACAGCGCCAAGCGACTGCAGCAGAGACCACAGGCCAGCAGTGACCAGAATGTTGGCCTTCTGGTTCCTTCATGGCTAAGGTTCTGCATCAGACTACACCCCTGGAAAGTTATAGATTTATTGATAAGTCCATTAAATTGCTCTAGTGGAGAGAGCCCCTGTCCTGTGAGCAGAAGGTTTGGGCTTCAGTTTCATCGTCTATTAAAATGAAAGGGGTTGGATTCTATGATCTTGAAGATCGCCAGGGAGAGGTTCTTGATTGGGCACCAGTGTAAAATCACACATGGCATTTTAATGAAAGCACTTGTCATTATAGGCATAGCCGGAGAGCTGAGACAGCAGCACTGATAGAAGATGTTGGAGAACCAAGTAAAAGGCTTTCTTCAAAGCTGAGTTTTCTAAAAGACTATGCTGTCTCCAGTAGCACCAAACACTGTGAGGAAAGTGTTCCTACCTCCACCAGACCCTGCAAAATCCGGACACACATGACACATCCATAATGCACTCTGGCTGCAGCAGGAATGAGCATGTTCAAAGTGGACGTTAAGAAGATGGCAGCTCCGAAGACCCTGCAGGACAAAGCACTGTGTTACCGGGGAAGGTCCCGGGTGGCGTACACTTCATTAAACACTGAAAAGGAACCTCACAGCTCATGAAAAGTGGAAACTGGATGGGCTCCGTGGCTCAGCCTGTCATCCCAGTGCTTTGGGAGGCCGAGGCGAGCGGATTGCCTGAGCCCCCGGGTTCGAAACCCGCCTGGGCCACTTGGCGAGACCTCGTCTCCACAATAAATCAAAAATTAGCCAGGCATGGTCGCGTGCGCCTGTAGTTCCAGCTACTTGGAAGGCTGAGGAGGAAGGATCGCTGGAGCCCAGCAGGTCGAGGCTGCGGTGGCCGGGAGTGTGCCACTGCACTCCAGTCTGGGCGTCAGAGTGAGATTCCAATTCAAAAAAAAAAAGAAAAGTGGAAATTGACATAAATTAATTCCAGGAAAGAGATGTGTGAGGGTCTGGTGCACCCCAAGCTACACTCTGTATAGCTATGAGTCCCAAGCTCCAGTCCCTGGACCAATTAGGGACATGTTTTTGGCAACATAGGGATGTTCTGCCAGAATGATAACCTGGAACGCTGACAACTGACCAGGTTGAGGTGTGCATGCTGGAGGCCTTCCATCCTGCCTGGTTCCCCCTTGCTGACCCCTTCTGACCGTGACCCTCTGCATGTTTGAGGTTGTATCTCCTGCTTCCCAGAGCTGCCCTCAGTTTACCAGAAGGAAATACTGGCCACACAGGAAGCATGTCCTGGGACCAACCAAGCATACAACAGTGTGTGGACCTCTTAGCCTCCACCTCCAGGTGTCCCAAGAGCAGAGCAGGCAGCACTTTCTTCCCTTCTCACACTATTAATCATGCTTCAGCTCTTTGCTTGTGCTGGGAAGTCAGATTATGTGCAATTTCCTTTTAGGCCAGAGGTGTAAGCAGTAACCAAGGAGACCACAGCAGCCAATATTTTATCTCTTTCTTAAAAGAATATAGTAGGCAAGTAGCAATAAATAAAAGACACAAATTAGACAAGAATGTGAATGGATACGGTTATACGAATGGATACGGTTATAAGAATGTGAATGGATACGGTTATTTATGGAAATCTAAATGCTATATTTAAGTCTGAGGGTAGTAGCTTTCAAACTTTTCTAACCTTGACCCATGAACAAAATATATTTTATATTGCAATCCAGTCCATGCGCATACACACAAATATAACTGAAACAAGTTTTAAAACTAATATTCAGATATTTTCTGTTTTATTCTATTTGATTATCATGTTTCTCTTTCTTTTAAAAAAAATGCTCATCCATAGATCACTATAGATTTCACAACCATCTCATGAGTTGTGTTTTGCAATTTGAAAAAAACGCCTTGTGAATTGTAATGCACTTCATGTAACTCGTTTCTGTAAAGTCGTGTGGAAGTACAATTGGAAGGGACCTTTTCTAGTATGTGACAGGCTCTACAATATCTCCCCCAAGTGGTCATCCTCTTTAGCTTGAACACCTCTAGTGACAGAGAGCTCACTGCTTCCTGAGACCAGTCATTCTGTTCCTGGACACTTAATTACTCCAGTGCCAGCCGTAGAGTCTCAAGGGCATTAGACTAAAGCAAGCCTCCTACTCACGTGACAAAACCTCTGTGGTACTGTGCGATATTAACTCGAGTATATAAATTACAGAATGCCACTGGGCAAAGGCAACCAAAGCACAATTTAGTCCATTTCGCTGATGAGAAACTGAGGCCCAGAAAGGGCAGGAAAGTGGCTCAGGAAAGAGGTCGTCCCGTGAGTCAGTCAGGGGCCAGAAGCTATTGCTCTTGACTCAGAGTCCAGTGCTCTTTCTACCCCAACGTCACTTAAGGAGTTGCAAGGTAAAAAAAAACAGGATCATCGGGGATCGGTCTCCATGAAGCGCATCTATGGGGGTGGCTCCTGATTTCCATTCTGTACCCCCAAGATGAGAACTGACCAGACAGGTTTCATAAGGCACACAACCGCGGCATAACCTGTGCAGCACACATGCGACATCGGTTTGTCTTACCTGTTAGCAGCAAACTTGTTCGAGATGAAACCACCTGGAATTTGTGTCACAATATAACCCCAGAAAAAGGATCCGTGGATAAGGCCTACAGTCTCTGGGTCCCAGTTAAACTGTGCTGTCTGGAAACAAGAAAGCAGATACAGTTATTTCTGTCAGCAGACACTGGATGCCACTTCCCAGCGATGATCCTACACCATAACCCCAGGGGCTGCTTCTCTCCTTCCTTTATTCAGCAACTGTTTGCAGAAGCATCTTGCATACTTGAGATACAGCAGTGAACAGAACAACCCTTCTCTTGTGCATCTCGCCTTCTAGTGAGAGGAAGGGGAAAGCATGTGTGTGTGCATATTTGGTACACCAAATAGTGATGGGTGCTAAGGGGAACAGGGAAAACAAAATGTCTTGTGAAGAAAACACAAAATACATAATTTACGAGGTTATTCGATACCAGTTTAGTGAGATTCCAAAGGGAACCGGAGTCTGAAGTCTCCTTTCTTAATGAGGATATTAAGACCCATTCCACATTCCCATGGGATGTGTGGAGACAAATGCCATGGATATTTCCAGCGGGTTATCCCTCTGCTGAGGAGACTCCACTCATCACGGAACAGGACAGTGCCTGGGGCACAGCGTGGACTCGTACCCGTGAGCAGTCATGACTGCTATCTTGCTGGTGGCAAAGGCAGCAACACCACCTTCCACAACTCTCAGATCGCTGAATCCCTTTTCTCACTTTGTTCTCCTGGCAAAGTAACTCATTCTTTTCGGACTCATTGCAAACACTACTTCCTCTGAGGAAGCTTCCTGACGCGCCAGGTTGAGTTGGTCACCTTTCCTGGGCTTGTCCCACAGACCTGTCTTACAGCCACGATGCTTACACTGTGCTGTTCTCAGTGAATGGATGTCCACGTGTCCATGTCTCCATGTTCCACACAGGGTGGCAAGAAGCTATAAGAGAACAGCCACGTCCTGTTTGACTCATGGTCTTAGTACCTAACACAAACACCCGGGAACTCAGAGGTACACGTAAATATTTGCTGAATGAATGAAAAACTGAGTAGCTTTGTAAAGCATTGATGTCAAAACAGAAGTATGGAGTAAAAGGGTCCCTGATTATCAGCATACCACGTTTTGTAAACCTTCATCAGAGTTTGTTTTCCCGTCACAAGTTGATGTGTCTATTTGCCCATTTGTTAGACATTCACCTGAAGCCATCTTAGTGCCAGGTCAGAGGTTGGGCATGTAAATTCAAACCCAACCAAGACCAGTCTTTACCCTCAAGGCGATCACAGTACATGTAACATCGGCCTGTACTCACCACTCTTTCTCATGTTACGGACTAGCAAGTTGAAACTCAAGGGTAAAAAGGAACTAACGATCACTCACTGGAAGCAGCTTGCCACATTTGTATTGTTTGCCTAATATGTGCCACACCTTGATCTAGGCACTGGGGACATGACCTTGAACCACTACAGTAACTCCTGCCCGTGGAGATGCCAGTGAAGATAGCAGACACAAGCAAGTGCATACTGGGTTGGATGATGTCCAGTGATGAGAACAAAAACAAAGCAGGGGAAGGGATATGAAGTGTTGGGTAGGGAGGAGGTGAGGAAAAACTGTCGATAGAATGACCAGAAAGGCTTCACTGAGAAGGTGGTTTTTGAGTAAATCCTAAAAGAAGGAAGTGGGCAAGACAAAAAGTTGCCTCCAAACTTTTATGTCGGCAAGCATATGACTTCTGGGCATTGATCAAAAGAACTGAAGTCAGGGTCTTGAGAGGTAGTGGCACCTCCTTTTCCACTGAAACATTATACACAATAGCCAAGATGTGGAAACACCTGCATGTCCACCAACTGATGGGTAGATAAAGAAATCATGGCACATACATTCGATGGAGTACTACTCCGTCTTTAAAAAGAGTGAACTTCTGCATGTGTAACACGCTCAGGGACATCACGCTCAGGGAAAGAAGCCAGCCTCAGAAAGACAAATGCACATGACCCCAATTACAAGGAGTGTCTAAAATAGTCCACCTCATAGGATCAAAGAGCAAAACGACGGTTGCCAGGGGCTGAAGGGATGGGGAGGCAGGAAGTTACTAGTCAATGGCCATAAGATTGTAAGCAAAAACCATGGATAAGCAGTAGAGACCTGCTGTCCAATGGAGTATCTATGGTCAATAATAATGTGTTGTGTACTGAGACGGTTATTAAGGGAGTGGCTTTCATGACAAGCATCTTTATCCGATCAAAATTTTAAAAACCAAAAATACAGGGAAAAAAATCATAATGGCCCTAGGTATAAGCCATGACCATAATATGCAAACACTGTGTCAGGTGTTGTAATAGGCCAAAAACGGCCCGCAAAAGACATCACATCGAATCCCTGATCCGGTAAATGCTACTTATCTGCAAAATGGGTCTTTACTGATGTGAAAACAGCAGAGATCTTGAAATGAGGACTCCTGGATTATCCAGCCCTAAATCCAGTGAAAAGTGTCCTTAGAAGAGAAAACAAATGGGGTGGTAAGACAGAGAGAAGGCCACACGGAGAGGGGGCAGAAACAAGAGTGATGCTGTCACGAGCCAAGGGACTCCTGGAGCACCAGAAGCCAGATGAGCCAGGGAGGGACTCCCCGCTGAAGAGAGTGCAAGGCCTTCTGGTCTCCACAAATGAAAGAATAAATGTCCATTGCTATAAGTCATCAAGAGTATGATAATTTGTTACGGCAGCCTTAGGAAACTAATATCTCACCTGATCTTCAAAGCAATGCTTTTATTCCCATTTTACAATAAGTGCAATGAGGGTTAGCAAAGAATTGCTAGAAATGTCGGCTCAGCTCTGCTCACGCTTCCTTCAAATTCTCCCTTGCAGCCACCATAGCTGACTGGACACCTGGACACCTGGTTAGAAAGAGCTAAGCCGTAGGCTAGATTCAGCCAGGTAGCCTCTCCCTCTGTCTCTCTGTCTCTCTGTCTCTCTCTCTCTCTCTCTCTCTCTCACACACACACACACACACACACACACACACACACACACACACACACACATAGAGCAACCCAAACTCAGAGATTCTGGTGAGACAGTAGTGGACCCTTGAAACTAGTCCCACAAAGTCATGGAGTCAGGGCCAAGCAGACCAGCTCCCTGGTGAGGCAAAGCCTCCGAGAGCTGCAGTTTTGGAAGCAGTGAGAAGCCATGGAAGAGGAAGCAGGCCATGAAGAGACGCAGGAAAGTGGAGCCGCTCAGAGAGAAGCAGACAAGCCCTTGTGGGGTGAGCAGCTGGAGCCCTTGGCAGAGGACGGTGGGCTCTGTGAGGAGGAGCTCTGCTCTGCACTCCCCCGCTGGCCTGTGCTGTGACCTTGGCCTCGGAGAGAATCACGGCTTCTCCTCTCCATAGTGAAGTCCAGCCTGGGTTCAGTTCTGCCTCCAGCTGCTCCCATGTCCAGGGCACAGACCCCACAGGCGCACTCCACAGACCTGTGGTTGGTGGGTGGTTTCCAAACTCCCTCGACAGCCTGAGATAACCCCCTCACCCTCTGAGTGTCACGGCACAACTCTTTTCTGCCACCAGCAGCCTTGACCTGGGCACCTGGCTCAAGGCCCTCCGGCTGATAAGCAGCAGAGGCGAGTTTGGATCAGGTCTGGCCAGTTCCAAAGCCCATCCTCTTCACCCTGCAAGGCCCACAGTCCATGGAAGGACTTTGGACTTTTCCTGAGAGACAGAACAAAATCGCAAGGTTTCTCAGACTTCAGCCTTTGTATTTTTCTTACCATATGCCAGATACTGTTCCGTGTCTCACATGTTTTTAACTCATAACTGCTAAACTAAAAAATGACTACCCACATCTTAGATATAATCACCCTTCATGCCACTTGGAGAACGCATGCCACATATTGAAAGATCTACTTTTTTTTTTTTTTGAGTTGGAGTCTCACTCTGTCACCCAGGCTGGAGTGCCAGTGGCACACTCACGGCCACCGCGGCCTCGACCTGCTGGTCTCAGGCGATGGAAAGATCTACTTATTTATATTGCTTACTTCTCTCCTCTTCTGAAATCAAGAGTTAAAGATTTCTCAGTGCAAAATATCTAGTTTTCCCCCACAAAACAAAACAAAACAAAAAACACAACCAAACAAAAATACCAGCTATTTAGAACCTTTCTTAAGAAAATTAGTGGAATCTTGTCATCTGTTTGCACACGTTCAGTTGAAATGTAAGCTTTATTCTGTTGGGACCAGAGAGGAAAGCTATAAATCGCAGTTGTGCTAGAGATTCTGGTACCAACCCCCTCCTCCAGAGGCCAGAGAAAATGATGTAGAGAGCATCTTAGATCTTAATCAGTTCCTCTATGACTCCAGAGCGCAAACCCCAGAAACGGGAGTGCTTACACGGCTTATTTCTTAGGTTTATCAAAATGTCTCTCCCATATGCCTCACTGCAGACTCTGTGGACCTAGGCCTATCTTTTCAGGCACCAAACAAATGCAAAGCAGCAACTCATTTTTAATCTGGGCCTCAGCCGACAGGTTTAATTATCTGGCCTTGCTCACAAAAGGCTGAAAGAAAGCATGTGATACACATCTGAAACCTCGCTAATATGCATCATTCTTTATTTCTAAAATGCATAGTAAGCCGCTGTGCCCCTCTACCTCTATTCCCCACCCTCCAGGACAGGATATGCTTCTGGGACAGATTCTGCTGTGGCATAAAAAAAAAACCAGTTAGAAGGGTCTCCATGGTGCTATCTTCCTCTGGCAAAATAATCTCTTTATTAAAAAAAAATTAGCTTGCAGGCCAACCAATGACTTCTTTTCTGGCGGACTGAAATCAAATTTTCCCAAAGCAGTGCTTGGCAAGGGACAGTACAGATGATGCCAACAGATGGGGCGTGAAAGAAAGCATTCTGTGATCAAGTCAGTCCAAGCCACGCTGCATCCCATGCCCCTCCCAGAGGACCTCAGAGGACACAGCACGGTGCAGGGTCTGTGGTGGCCACACCTTCCGCATGGCACAGCCTGAGAGCAGGGATTTCCCAGGCCCCAGTCTAGAAGACTCAAATCCAAGTGCTTCTTTCAGTATGGGCAGGGACCAGAGAACTGACAAATGCCTCTCTACAAATGAGGTTTCCATGTGAGGCCTTCCAGTGTGTGTGTCCACTTCAATGAAGCATGCACTAATGGAGGGTCCACTGGGCCTGCTTTTTGGGGGGATGTTTCTTCTCCCTCATAACCTTAGTACATCTCCAGGTCTATCATCTAAGAAACAAACCAGGCTGGGCGCAGTGGCTCAGTAGCTTGGGAGGCCAGGGCGGGAGGATTGCTTGAGCCTAGGAATTCGAGACCAGCCTGGGCAACATAGCAAGACCTTGTCTTTAGAAAAAAATAAAAAAATTAGCTGTGTGGTGGCACGTGCCTGTAGTTCCAGCTACGCAGGAGGTTGAGGCTGCAGTGAGCCAGAGTCGTGTCACTGCACTCCAGCCCGGGCAACAGAATGAGACTTCGACTCAAAAAGAAAACAAAACAGATTTTATCCTTCCTGTGATTCCTGAAACAGTGCTATTTAAAAGTCACATTGGCGTCTGCTCATTCATGAGGACAGTAGCCACCGAGCTGGGCCTCCTGTGGCCTCCACTTCTCCTCACGGTGCGTGGCCCTCCTTCCAGAGCCCCGACTGGATCACCTGCAGCTCACAGCCCAGCCGTGACTCCCACAGGGTTTCCTCACCTGACCTGCTGCCTGCTGACGGTGCAGGAGAGACCTCCCTCCCAACCGACGGAACCTTGTGCATCTGTGAGCTTGGAGCTCCTTATTTTCACTGTTCACGGCAGTCTAGCATTTTCTGCAATTGTGAGTGCAAGCAACAATGGTCAGTCCCTGCGTTGTGTCACCGGTACCTGTGACTGTCGCTGTGGAAATCGCAAACAGGCTCAAATCCTGTTACAGCCATTGCCACTGTCTCAAACGATTGCTGACACGTCAGTCACCCTCCAGATCATGTTGATTATAAACTCAGGGCTAGACTATGTCTTCTTAAGTGTTCATAAAAAAGTTCACCTTTCCATATCACAAATATGATTTTTAAATATTTTGATATCTATATCTGAATATAGTTGGCTTTCTTTCTCATCCTTTAAAATAATTCTGAGGTTCACTTTGATAATAAAGAAAAGACTTTTTTTTTTAAGATATAGGCTCTGGCTCTGTCACCCAGGCTGCAGTGCAGTGGCACAATCACAGATCACTGCAGCCTCGACCATAGCCTTCTGAGTATTCCTGAGTAGCTGGAACTCAGATGCGTGCCACCACACCCGGCTAATTTTTTTTTTCTTTTCTTTTTCATTCTTGTTGTTGTTGTAGAGATGAGGTCTTGCTATGTTGTCCAGGCTGGTCTTGAACTCCTGGCCTCAAGCAATCCTCCTGCCTTGGTCTCCCAAAGTGCTGGGATTATAAGCATGAGCCACCCTGCCCAGCTGAAAAAAAACTATGTTTGAAAAAGAGTTTAAAACATTATCTTGACAAAGGTTCACAGACCATCACCACGTTGCCAAAGGGGTCCATGACACAGAAAAGGTGAAGGGACCCTGGCTTAGTTCCTAAAATACCCCCTTTCTCTCCCTTCCTCTCCTTGTCTCCCTCCCCCATTCCCCTCTCCCCTTCCTCCCTCCCTCTCTGCCTCTCTCTCTCCCCGCCACACCCACAGTCCTTCACACATGATGTTTCTTTTTCTTCAAACATTCTTCTCTCCACCCCAGCAAAAGCCCCTTTGTCAAGTCCAGCCATCACTTTCTCTGGGCATGTTTGCGTGACATTCAAGTCTGGGCTGGCCCCCTCTATACAGGTCCAAGCACCCTATGTCGTTCCAGCCCCAGGTTGTCACCGCTCACTTGTCTCCACGAGGACAAGAACCCACCCCCGGGGTGTTCGCCGCTCTGTCCCCTCACTCTGCACAGTGCCCAGCACATAGTAGCCATTTGCATTTTTTGTCACATCTCTGAATGAACTGCAGTGATGTTTTCACAGAGCAGAGCATCGACAGACAGCGGTAGATTGACACCCACCTGAATTTCTGGTTTTCCATCCACATACACAGTGCTGTTGTTGACCATTTCCACGATGGCAACGCCAAGGTTGCACCGAATCCCGAAGGAAATGCAGAATCCCAGCCCGCTCATGATGGCAATGATGTAGCGCTTGGGGAGACCACAGCAGTGGCAGCTGCAGCGCGGGGGGCCGGGCCTGGGCGTGGGCACCGGCCTGCCTTCCTCGTTCAGCTCAAGGCTGTCTTCGTCCTCGTGGGTACCATCGATTTTTCTGCACGGGAAAAAGAATGAGCAGAAAATAAAAGCCAGGAGTAGGGGGGAAAGAAAGTGTACTAGGCAAAAAAGGAAATATGTGCCAAGATCAAAAAAGAAAGAAAAAGAAACCCAAAGCGGAACGCAGTTAGTTTTTTGTTTTGTTTTTGTTGAGTTGGAGTCTCACTCTGTTGCCCAGGCTGGAGTGCAGTGGCACGCTCACGGCCACCTCAGCATCGACCTGCTGGGCTCAGGTGATCCTTCTGCCTCAGCCTTCCAAGTAGCCAGAACTACAGGTGCGCACTACCGTGCCCGGCTAATTTTTTATTTATTGTAGAGGCGAGGTCTCTCCAAGTTGCCTGGGCCAGTCTCAAACCTGCAGGCTCAGGCAATCCACTCACCTCGGCTTCCCAAAGAGCTGGGATTACAGGCTGAGCCACTAAGCCCGGGCGCAGCTAGTATTTCTAAAGTTATTATCATTAAAGCAAATTACAATGGCTTAAACTACTGAGGTTCTGGATATTGTGTGGGTTTTTGTTGTTGTTGTTTTGAGTCAGAGTCTCTGTCACCGGCTGGAATGCCGATCACCACCTCAATTTCCTGGGCTCAGGAGATCCTCCTACCTCAGCCTTCTGAGTAGCTGGGACGATAGGCATGCACCACCATGCCTGGCTAAGTTTTCTATTTTTTGTGGAGACCCGGTCTCACTATATTGTCCAGGCTGGTCTCAAACTCCTAGACTCAAGGGATCCTCCTTCCTCAGTCTCCCAAAATGCTGGGATAACAGGTGTGAGCCACCACACCCTGCATGTGTGGGACTTGTGTAGGCATTAAATCATTTAAGTCTCTTCACAACCCATGCAGTAGCATTATCATGCCATTATATAGATGAGAAAACTGAGTCATTTTGGGCGGGATATGAACCTGAGCCCAGGGTCTATGATGTCCTTACCAATATGGTGTATTATATTTCCTGCTGAAAGAGTATTATTGGTGGATCTTATCTACCTTCCATGACCCAGCTAACTATTAAACTTGACCTGAATTTTAGTGTCACTTGAAGCTTGCAAAAAGATGTACAGGAGTAAATGAGTCCATTTGCAGATTCTTTAGTTTCTTCCTCTTTTTCTAAGTCTTAATAAAATACCAAGTGATGGTGGAAGAAAAATGCATTTTCCATCAGGTACACACCCAGCTGGTAGTGTAGCCTTTCTTCCATAGACAGTTCTTCTAAGGAGATGTTCCTTGGGCACCTTTTACCCAAATAGTAGCATTTTTCACTGACATCTAGGGATTCCAGTTATGACATGCCTATTACGGTGAATTTACTCCTTTTTTTGAGAAAAGAAGTGATCGGCACCCTGAACACTGTTTCTCAATGATAGCAGGGGCTCCATCCTCTCACCTATTATAACCTTGCTGGGATGTTTCTGTGACCCAAGGAAGGACCAAGTCTTTGTAAAAATGAGCAAAGCTTGCAAGTCTTCGAAGACATTAAGTTCAACAATAAATAGCTGATACAACGGCTCACAGAATGGTTTAATCAAAATACAAATCAGCCTCCCAAAATGCTGGGATAACAGGTGTGAGCCACCACACCCTGCCTGTGTGAGACAAATCATCTGTCCACCGATCTATACAGAAGACGATGGACTCACACAAAATCGAGCTTCAAGCCCAAGTGCAGAGAAATGAGTCTACTGGAAGCAACTCAGTTCATCCGATTTGTATTGTGTGCTGACTGCGTCTAAGGTCGGTGCTCAGCGTTGGGGAGCAACAGCAGGGGTGACACATCCTCTGCCCCCCTCCCCTCCAGCACTCAGACAGGCAGGAACAAAGACACATGAGCAGGGGCAGGACTGGGCACTGCAGGTTTTGTTGGCTTCACGGTGGCGGGCCATGGAAGCACACAGGAAGGGAGCTTCGGTTTGCTCGTGGGCTCAGATGGAAGCTCGGTGAGTGCCAGAACCTTCGAGTGGTCTGAGGGGAGCTCCAGGCCCCCAGTCCTCCACTGCCACCCCTGCCAGCCCACATCCAGGCAGATTGTCGTCTCCTTCTAGTCGTCTGCACTCTAGCTAAGCATAAGAAGTGCCCTCCCTGGACACCAGGTCTCACCCTCTCTCCTGACTCACGGATATCGTCCAGAATTCCCCATCCCTGTTCTACCTGTTCTTATCTCCTCTCCATCAGCGTATCCCTGTTGTCTACAGATAAGCTTTTATCTCTCCCACATTAAAATGCAAAATAAAGCCGGACTTGGTGACTCAGCCTGTAATCCCATGCCTTTGGGAGGCTGAGGTGAGTGGATCACCTGACCCGCGGGTTTGAGACCCGCCTAGGCAGCGAGACCTCATCTCTACAATAAATCAAAAAAAGATCAGCCGGGCATGGTAGCACATGCCTGTAATTCCGGCTACTTGGAAGGCTGAGGCGGAAGGATCACCAGAGCCCAGCAGGTCGAGGCTGCGGTGGCCGGGAGCGGCCACTGCACTCCAGTCTGGGCGACAGAGTGAGACTCCAACTCAAAAAAATAAAATAAAATAAAATAGAAAATTTTTTAAAAATTAAAAAAAGAACTCAGTAGGCACCAGCCATTTTCACTATGTTAATCCTCAAGATCCTCGCAGGAGTCCACGATGCTAGACTGAGCATCTGATTTAAAAAGCCCAGCAAACTGACGCCCCAATATTGGCATGTCGTGATAATAGTATGAAGAGTATTTGCTAAAACAAGGACAACGTACACCAACCACAGTGATACTTGAAGGACGCGAATACGGTTCCTTTCCTCTACCCTTCTCTCTCAACACACGCGCATAAAATCATCTTGTTTGATCATGAATACCACTCAGTGCAGCACAGAGGACCCGATACTCCCATCTGACATAAAATATAGCTGTAGTTCAGAAAGCAGGAGCGGGCTGGCCAGGATCACACAGTGTGAATGGGCAGAGGTGAGAGGGAGACCTTATTCTCACTGGCTGGGTATTCCGGGCCCTGTCGTGTGTTGCCCCATGCCGGGCAGTGCTCTGTCTCAGCGGTTGTCCTGAGCCACTCTGGCATGGCATCTGTTACTTGGCAGTCCTCCCCCAGCTATGTCAGCCCAGCAGAGGACAGTTAGAGCCTGAGAGCAGCCCAGCACTGGCCCTCCCGTGCCAGTTTTGTGACGCTGCCTGTTGCTTGACCCTTCTCAGCCATGGTGTCATTCTGTGAGCCACCAGGCAACTGTGGTGAAGTCCTGCTGACCAGGGGGCTTGGATGACACACGTTTCCTTTCCCATGGCACTGAAGCCAGCAGTCCTGGTCAAGGCTTCGGCGGGCCTTGGCCGCTCCCAAGGCCGCTCTTCTTGGCCTGCGGATGGTGTCTTTCGCCTGTTTCTTCATGGTCTTCCTTCCATGAACCTCTGTGTCCACATTTTTTTCTTCTTATGAGGACACCAGTAATACCAGATTAGGGCCCACCATAGAGGTCTCATTTAGCCTTAATTACCTCGTGACAGACCTTAGTACCAAACACGGTTTGAGGCACTGAGAGTGAGAACTTCAACATATGAACTTGGGGGATACGTGGCTCAGCCCGTCACAGGCTCTAAGGGTGTCTTACATAGTAATAGCCTCATAGGGCTATGTCATGGCATGCATGTCAGTGCCAGAGAGTTGGTCCTGGCCCATAAAGAGCTTTATCATAATATTGGCAAGTACTATTACCATGGCTGTGAATGAAATCGAGGCCTGCCATATACCTGGCCTCTCTATTCGAGCAGAGGCTTTGGCTGAAGTCGTGAAAGCTGATCGTTTCAGGTGCTGAGGGCCTCTGTGGAGCTCGGGTGAAGACAGTCCAGCCGCTGCTGTAACCCCAGTAGGACGTGGGCACCTGGACATGGGGACAGGAGGGAGGCGGCTCCCCTGACCAGCGATGGAGCCAAAACACCCAGCACCGTCGTGGTCTAAGCCTTCTTCCCTAGGCCTCTTCCTCCTCCCACACAGGCAGCGATCGGATGCCCCAGTCCCGCTTGCTCACTCACTTATGATTTTGGTTATGAGCTGAAATGTGTCCCCCCAAATTTATATGCGGAAGTCTTAACTCCTAGAACCTCAGAACGTGACTGAGATTGGAGATACGGAGTTTGAAGAGTAATTAAGGTTAAACGAGGCCTGTGGGTACGTCCTTATCTAATACGACTAATGTCCTTACAAGAAATTTGAATCAGGCACAGTGGTACACACCCGTAGTCCCTGGGACTCAAGATGCTGAGGTGGGAGGACCACTGAGCCCAAGAGTTCGAGGCTGCAGTGAGCTATAATTGCACCACTGCACACCAGCCTGGACAACACAGCGAGACCCTATCCAAAAAAAAAAGCAGAAATTTGGCCACACAGAGACCCCAGGGGTGCATATGCACAGAGGAAAGGCCATCTGAGGACATGGCAAGATGGTGATTATCGCCAAGCCAAGGATGAGGCCTTAGGAGAAATAACACTTGACAACACCTTAATCTCGGACTGCCAGTCTCCAGAACCGTGAGAAGATAAATTTCTGTTGTTTAGCCACCCAGTCTGTGGTAATTTGTTCAGCAGTCTCAGCAAACTAATGCGATATTCGAATTTGCCTTCTGAAAGGGTCACATTGACCTCAGATTGATTTTCACACAACCGCTGAATTGCTATTCTACCGGAAGAAGGAAGGAACTGGAAGCACATTGACTATTCCGACACTCTAGGCACCCCATGAGGTTTTTATAAACTATGTGTGAGGGGACCCCCAAAAAACTGGAATTATCTTTTGGAGGGTGGGCCCCTTGTAGTACACTCAGAATTTGCTCCTGTGGCTCAAACGGTCAACCGAAGTTTTTATCTGGAAGTGTTGAGAAGGTTGCATCAGGATTTGTGGAAGAAACGTCCCAAGCTGTGGCAAACAGGTGACTGGTTCATCTACCATGACGATGCACCTGCCCACGCCGTGCTGAGCGTTCAGCAATTTCTGACCAAAAACTTCATGACCCCTGTGCCCCACCCTCCC